ACATAGGTGTGTACATATGTAAATACATCAATTCATAAAAATAGAGGTACTGGCATATGTACATATATTTATATGGCAATACATTGAGGTAGCGGATGGACTTTGGACTCAAGCCCTGCCTTAATGCAAGAACACTTTGTTTTAACAACCTGGCATTCCGTGATGCTCACCCTCCCAGCATGATCACTGAAGACAAAATGGGTGCATAAGCAAATGTGCAGAAAGCTGATGGTGCCTGGCTATCAAAAGATATAACATCTGGGGTCTTAAAGGCTTGAACTTAAACTAGCGGCCATATAGCAGAGAAGCAACAAGCTCACATGGAAGAAGCATACCAGCAGGAATCAGAAGACCCAAAACAAATAAACAAAAACATACTGTTGATAATGAGGCGGGTTGGAGCAGAGACCCAAAACCCATCTGTAGACAATGGAACATCCCCTCACAGAAGGATCATAAGGAAGGGATGAGTCAACTAGAGGGGTAGTATAGCACCAATGAAACACACAAAAGTCCTCTGGTTCCTTGAGGCTTCCTCACTTCCACTATCGTGACTCCAGTCCTGCCTTTCACTGCAAACTAGACCAAAGCATGTACACAGGTACAGATAAGAGCTCAGGACACACGGAATCCAGGTCAGATAAACCCCTCAGGAATAGAAATGGGAGTAGTGATACCGGGGAACTGAGGGCAATAATCGACATATAACCATACACCACCCCCACTCCCCGCCCAGGGGATGAACAACAGAAAGCATGGGGAAAGGGAGACAGTGGTTGGTATAAGAAATGAAAATAATAATTTATAATTTATCAAGGGGTCATGAGGGTGGGGGAAAAGAGGAGCTGATACCAAGGACTCAAATAGAAAGTAAATGTTTAGAAAATAATGATGGCAACATATGTACAAATATACTTGATACGAATGATGTATGGATTATTATAAGAACTGTAAGAGCCCCAATAAAATTATCTTTAAAAAAGAAAAAAGAATTATATATAGTATATGCATAGAATTTTTGTGATACAAAGTAAAAGTGTTGTTTTGTGCCAAGAAAAGCAGGCCCTGAGACTTTACGACTGCAAACTGTACGTGAGCACTTGTTCTGCATCCTTGGCTCTCAGGGTACGTTCAGAAAGGAGCCCAGGGTGGTACAAATGCTTAACACACTCAGCTGCTAACAAAAAGATCAGAGGTTCTGGTATACTTGGAAGTGCCTCAGAAGAAAAGCCTGGCAACCTACTTCTGCAAAGCCTGCCATTGAAAACCTAATCTAGCGGAATACGGTTCAACTCTGGTGCCTGTAGGGAGGGCCCCATTACTCAGAGTCAGCTTGATGGAAGTTGGGACTGGTTCGTCAGAAAAAGTTAGGCTCTAGCGTCAAAACTAGATACAGAAGTCAGCTCTGCTGCCAGTCACAAGCAGTGACTTTGGGCACTTTGGGACTTTGCTGAGCCTCGGTTTCCCCATCTTTCGCTGAAGATGCCAGTATCTCTCTCGGCATTGTTAGGCTTCATCGAGAAGATGCTCAGGTCCCGCTTCCTTCTCCACCAGTAACTCCCACCCTCTCCACACCCCTGGTCTGATTGGGTGGGCCTTCTTCTTCTGTTTCCTTGTGCCTGTCAGGGATAGGGCCCCCTCCAGCCAAGCCGGCCTGCACGTCTTTCTTTGGGAACACTAAGCTTCAGGAAGGCCCTTGGCTCAGTGCCAGCCCTTTTGGAAGAGTCTTGCCACCAGGAGGGCAGTATTATCCTAGAAGAGGAAATTGTGCCAGCCCAGCTCTTGCCTGGAGCCTGGTGCTTGGACGTTGTGGTTACTAAGGGGACCCTGGCCTGCTTAGTCAGAAAAAGGAGCCAGGGTTTTTTGTTTTGTCCCCCACCCCCCAATTCTTCAGCCTGTTGCCAGTGTTTGAAAAGTAAACACTCCACACAGCTTAACCAGCAAGTCCTGCAGCCAGGAGTGGGAAGAAATCAAAAGCCCATTCCAGCCCCGCTGCAGAGGGCCCCCAAGGTCTGGGCTCTGCTGCAGCGGCCCCACTGGGAACAAGCCACCCCAATTCTGGTCCCCCACCCTGATGCCTCCCGCCCGCTTCTGTCAGGAGCTCTTTGGAAGGTCAGCCGGGGCCCCAGCTCAGTCCTCCAGGATGAGAGTTCTTGGCCCAGCTGTCATGCACTCATGGCTCCTTCTCCAGTGAGACTGTGCCACAGCCTTTGAAGCGAGAGCCCAGAAGCTACCGAGTAGGGCTAGAAGGATTTTTGTCCTCCAGCCATTGCTACTGCAGCTTTTCCAATTGTCTGTGGCTCTGTGTCTATTATGAAAGTTTAAATAAGAACAGTAATGATAGTAACTACTGTGGTTAGTCACCGCATATGTGTTATCGCTAAGCCTCTTGGCAGCCAAGAGTAGCCTGGGGTGAAGGCAGACTCCATCATTGTTTGCATTTTACTGCTGATGAGGTCCACCTGTAGCCACATAACCCTGGGCAGTTTCCTTCATCTCTCTCAGCCTCAGTTTCTCTTTCTCGAAACGGGGATGGTGAGACCTCGCCTCCAGCTACATCGAGGTGATGACAGAATCTGTGTGAAAGGGCTGTGTGCACTCTGCTGTGCAAAAGATGGTTGTCGCTGCCAGTTCTCTCACTTCCAGCAAGCAGCTGATTGATAGCCATTTAACCTATTAGAGCCCAAGGCAATTCCCTTGTCTTTTATGAGTCTTAACCGTCCCTGAGGATTGAGCTTGGTCAAACAAAAGTGTTGTAAGACAACGCTATTCCTGTTAGGTTCGGACTCCTTGTGACCCTGTGTACAGCTGAACAAGTCACTGCCCTGTCCCACACCACCCTCACACTGGGACTTTGTTTAACTACCACCCTCCTCCACGCAGTCACTGCACCAGCACACCTCGCTTCTTGCTGACCTTCCCCTTTACCAACATGATGTCCTTTTCCAGGGACTGGTCCCTCCTGGTGACCCAGATCCAGAGTCTGTGAGATGAAGTCTCGCCATCCTCATGTGTAAGGGACATTTCCCTTACAAGACATTTCTTCATTCTCTGTCGGTTTGCTGTTACCTTATAAATGATCAATCTGTTCATGTTTGGGATGGGAGAATGAGCTCAGAAGTAGGCAGTCTTACCCTTCCTCTGGGGTTCTCAGCCCATAGTAAGCACTTAGGGAAAGGTCACACATTGATTGATAGATTTGTGGAATCACTCCCAATGGCCTGGAAAAGTGAATAGCCGGAGTGTGAGACTAATGGTCATGTTAAGTGGATGGAAGGATTCCAGCCTTATGGCTGCTTGGGAGCATTTACCCCCCCAACCTTGGGAGCATAGCGCTTCCATTCAGCTGGGAGAAATCTCAAAAGTGTATCTTTGGGCCCAAGCTCTCTTCTAGAAGCTGGGGTTTGAGAAGGAGTACATGGCCCTCAGGATTAGTGAGCTTACCATGCACCAGGCATTTTGCCCAGGGCTGGTTATTGTGCAGAGGTGAGCCAAGCCGAGGACAGCTCGTGGGGGGAGACAGGACCACAAAGGGGACAGTGGGTGTAGAGAACAGGGTGGTGAGGGACTGGTCAGTTTCCTTCAGGGAACATGATGGTGAAGCCAGTCGTGGGTTACCTCACCCGTGACTTCACCTCTTTGTTCCCCGATTAAATAAAATGAGAGCCAGAATGTACACTTTGCAGGGATATGATATGAGTTGAATGAAATGAAGTTAGTAAAGCTCTAAGAAAGCCCCACCCAAAACCAGGTCCTTGTCATTGTTCTCTGTTTACAGCCAACTTGAGCTTCAGTACCTGCCAGGATGCCCAGCTATATGTCTAGTCTATAGGATGTACAGCCTCTGTGATGCTCTTGGGTGAATTAAGAAAAGCCCGCTCCTTTCCCCTCTCTGGACCGATGGCATTCAGCAAGCATACTGGTTAGCATGTTTCAGCTCTAACTTCCCTGGCTGGAAATCTTTCGTGTACTCATGCGCAGACACATGCAGCATCTCTGAGGTTACCTGAAAATGGAATTGCCCCTTATATATAAGGCAACCGTATGCTGCATATGATCCCTATTGCCCTGGTATCATATGCCATGTCACATTCACAGGTGGCCCCATTTGGACAGTACATTACAGTATATTTCTACTTAAGCAGAACAAAATAAAGACAGGTTCTAAAGTTTGTGGTGTGCTAGGAGGGTCGCCTGAAACTGGGGTGGATAGGTAGGTGTAAGAGTGGAAATAGATGGGTCTGGCAGTGGGCAAATCATATTGAAACTCCAAATCTCAGGATCCACACAGTCGAGTCCACAGACAAGGGGAAGCTGCTGCCAGTCAGGAGACTCTTGTTTTTCCGTCTCCTCGCTTCTCCTCAGCAAGCCTGAATACCTACTGGGTGTGAGTTTCCCTTCTTCCTTTGAACTCTGCCAATGGAGTAAGGATTTGTGAACAAAAGCTCTGAGCCATTATTAGCTAGGTTTCTGTGGAAAATTGAACCATATTGAATCAGTAGGTCCTGCCTAGTTAATACTTTAAAACAAATTTAAGGAAAACAACCCTAGGCCGTACACCATACTCTACACCCAGGGATGGCAAGAGATGACAAAGAGACAGGCAAGTCACCTTGGTATCTGAAAGGAGGAGAGATTGACTGCTGCTGTCATGAGACCCTAGTTGTGGAGCTGAGTTCCTGGGGCTGGGGCTTTAGACCTTTACGCTTCAGCTGCTGTTAAAAAGGAAAAAGAAAACCCAGGAAAAAGAATCAATACAGTTGGGGTATGAAGAGTTCTCTCTCTTCCTGGGGCATGTTCCTTAGCTTCTGTGAGCCCGCCTTCTCTCTGGGGACTTGGGACGACCACAACGTTTTTGAACTAATAACTGTGGTCATCTAGTGATAAGCGTTTGCCAAATGTCACCTTTCTTCCCTGTCCCCCTTCCATGAGAGAAAGCCAGGGGATATTGCTATGCTTCGAGGACTTTCTCTTCTGAATTTTTTTTCCCCACCTTGCAGAGAGTCAGACATATGGCCCTGGATGACGTTGTGATCCTGAATGTGGACACCAACACCCTGGAGACCCCCTTCGATGACCTCCAGAGTCTCCCGAATGATGTGGTAGGTAATAGGTGATGGTCTGAGTCCCGTGAGCCTACACAGTGGATGGGAACGACTTTGTTGGATGAGGGGAGGAGAGGAGAGAGCTGTGCTTTTCCTGTGCCTCAGATCGGCAGTCAGGTCTCTGTTCCTTCGGAGAACCTGGTTTGTGTAGAAGTGCAGAAATGCTTTGCTTTGGTCTTAGAACTTGCGTCTGAAAGCCTGTGATCCCAGGGTCAGAGCAGGCCCCTCTTTTTCTGGGAGCTTGAGGGTCTGGCCTTCTCTGTCCAGGATGGACAGCTTCCTGTGTGTGGTGCCAGGGAGGTGGGAGGGGGGTTGATACGAGTCTTCTGGCAACTTGAACTTGAACTGGACCATCATCAAACAAAGCCATTTTCCTCCTTAGCAGCTTATCTCCTGCCAGCACTTTGAATGTAGCTGTTTGAGCCCCAAGTCTCTCTTACACCTCAGGTGGAGACACAATGTGGCCTCTGTGTAGCAAAGTCATTATCAGCCACACTTGCCACTCTTAACATCTGGCAACACCTACCAGGCTCACATGCTACTCAGAGCTGCTCCTGGAGCAGCTGTTTGAAGTCGATCCTTCTCTGCCACACTGCCCATGGGAATGAGGAGGCTCAGCATCCACAGGGAAGTACAGTCTTGATATTTCTGGTTTGGTCTCCATGGTTCTTCAGCTGAAAGAGCTGTGATGTTAGTCTTACTTGTACGCTGACAAGAGACCATGCTCCTGCCCTGTGGGTCTAGTCTAGGAGCTGTGTCTTGGCATGGCGCTGGCTTTACCTGATGGGCACTGGCCCTCCATTCCTGCTGGGAGCCCCCAGGAGATTGTTTTTTTGTTTGTTTGTTTGTTTGTTTTGTTTTGTTTTTAAGAATGGCTTGCAACATGGTTTAAAAGCCCTCTGCTTAGTGCGACTGACATTTTGGGGATATCACTGTGTTCTACAAAGATGTGCTCCTATTGATAATGTAGCCAGGCCACAGCTTCATTCATTCCATCACCCTGTACTGGACACTGTGCTAAGTGCTCATCACTGACCTCAAACTTACTCTTTATACAAGGTGAGGAAGGTATTTCCCGCCCCCCACCCCCACCCCAGCTCCCATTTTAACCCCAGAGCTACAAAGAGGTAGAGGACCCAGACCTATTGCTTTCTCTAAAGGCTTTCTATGTTCAGGAGCTCATTCCTGAGGCAGAGCCTACGGAGTGGGTTTTCTCTCCCTTTTACGGAGAGTGTGTGCCTAGCTGCCAGAATCATAGGGCCAGGAAGAGACAGGGCTGAGCTTGCAATCACAGGGTGGATGGCTGTTCCTCTCTCACACTGCCGGGAAGACCAAGTCATAGACCACTGAGAGTTTGCCACTAAGCATGTCAGGCCACAGTACTCGGGATCTTAGGGCCTCCTGTCTATATTTTTTGTTACCTTGTTTCAGGGGATCTGAGGTGCCCACAATTGGCCCCTTTCAGTGGGGAAGTTCTTCCTTTAAGTCACGGCGATTTAACAGCAGCTGGACAACCAAACCAAGTCTCAGGTATCGACCATGAGTGTGGGAGGTGAACCTGAGGCACATCAAGTGCAAGGAAGGGCCAGAGAGCCCCTGACAGCTCAGGATGCAGAATGGAAATCAGGAGAAGAACCAATAACTGCTGGTCCCGTCGGCATACAGTGTTCTGACCCTCTACTGGGCACTGGGCAGCAGAGCTGAACCAGATCCATCCTCACCTTCAGAAAACACATCCCAGGAGGGGATCTGACCTGTGAATGACACCCACATGACAGTATGGAATAACAGGGCCCACAAAGGAGGCAGATGCCCGGCACAGCAGGGCCCAGGGGAGTGAGTGACAAAGTGTTGGGGGCAGTGGAGGCTTCCTGAGGACGGCCACATCTGGATGCTTTTTCAGTGAAAACTGAGGTGGCCTCTGGGCACCAAAGTAAATTTGCACAAGTCATTTTCTTTCTCAGTCTCAGTTCAAAAGAGGAGTAACCAGATTTCTGATCAGGTCGTTTTGAGAATAAATGAGAGTTGTTGTTTTAGGTACCATCAACAAATAAATGTTGTTTTAGGTACCATCAACTCAGTCTATGCCCCATATAGATGCCTGGTGACAGAATGGAGTAGAATTCCCCCAAAGGATGAGGGCTTTCTTAGGCTTTAATCTTTACAGAAGCAGATTGCAGCTGAGCACTTAACCAAAACGTTTGATACCGACCTTGGTGTGTTAGCTCTGTTCAATAAACAATACCTGCATTTGTTAAGAAAAACTCTCCTTCATATTACAGGTAGGGTTGGGAGGCAATTAATCCCCTCCACCCCCTGACTGCTCAACCTGTGCTGCAGGGGCCTCCTGTTTGCAAGCTGGCATGTCACAGGGTTGAGAATGTTCCACAGCAGTGGTTTCCAGCATGAGGCTTAGGGATCCCAAAGATGGGAGTGGGGAGCGCATGTGGGCCCTGAGATGCTGGTTGTGTTTCAATAGAATTCTGTATGGTTTGATTTCATAAGGCTTTGTAAACTATCAGATCTCTAGAGGAGGAATCATGTTTTGGTCACCTCTGTGTACCTTACACTTGGCACAGGGCCTGGTGCCTTTAGCCAGATCAACAGGATCACCGCGGACCTCCACCCCTCAGCAAGATAACCGTCCCTCTTGCCAAAGCTGCCTGTTTACTCCCTGTAACCTACATTCCCTCTCATTCCTTCTCAAATTCACATCCTCTTCTCCATCCCTCCTGAACAGTACCCAGGCAAAGCCCTTGTCTCTCTCCTGCCAGCAGCCTCTCAACTCGGTCTTCCAACTCTAGGCTCTCCCCTTTAGCTCTTTTTCCTTACAGTGACCTTTGTAAAGTATAAATGTAACTAATTTTCTTAAAATCACTCTGGCAATTAACATTATTTTTTTAAACAAAAACTTCTGAAGACCTCCCCCCCCACCAAAAAAATCCTCCTATACCTTACTATTGCCTAGATATTAGAGGCAAATTCCTTTTGTTGGCTTTGGGATCTAACAGACCTTTGCTCGGGTGCTAGCTTCTTCACCTACAAACTGCAGTCTTGGGCAAAATACTTGAACGCTCTGAAACGTAGTTGCCTCATAAACTCACTACCTTCGAGTCGGTTCCAGCTCATGGCGACTTCATAGGACAGAATTGAACTCCTGTGGGTTTCCAAGACTGTCGCTCTTCGTGGGAGCAGAATGTCCCGTCTTTCTCGCATAGAGCAGCTAGTGGTTTCAAACTGCTGACCTTGAGACCAGCAGCCTACAGGATTTTGTTATAAAAGCTAAATTGTATATATATATATATATATACACACACACACACACACACACACACACACACACACTGTATATACTCGTGTGTATGCTAAGTTTTTTCAGCACATTTCTATTGAAGTTTTTGTGGTAAAATTAGGTGCCTCGGCCGATATTTGGCTTGGCTAATACTTGAGTATATACGGTAATGCGTATAAACATAGATCTTTTGAGCACTACTAACCCCAAATCCACAGTTATGGAGTAAATCGATTATAGTGACCCTACAGGCAGAGCAGAACTGCTCCTTAGAGTTTCTGAGACTGTAGCTCTTTAAGGCAAGCAGACAGCCTCATCTTCCTCCCATAGAGCAATCAGTGGATTTGAACTGCCATTATTATGGTTAGCTGCCTGGCCTCCTCTCTCAGGTCTGTTTGACCATGTCTTTCTATGTCCCACAGCCCCTCATGTTACTTGTATCATTGTGCTTATCACTCAGCACTGTGCTTTATGGCGCACATCTGGCTTTCCCTTTAATTATGAGTTCTTTGAGGGCAGGCATCAAGGTGATTTTATTTTTTGTTTCTTTTGGTTCTGTTTCTTTTCTTTTTATTTAAATAAATCATTTTATTAGGGGCTCGTACAACTCTTATGACAATCCATCCATGCATTGTGTCAAGCACATTTGTGCATATGTTGCCATCATCATTTTCAAAGCATTTCCTTTCTACTTGAGCCCTTGGTATCAGCTCCTCATTTTTTCCCTTCCCTTCCCCTTCTTCCCTCCCTCCCGGGTCAAGTTTTATTCATCTTTGTCCCTTAAGGGTCTGGCAGCCACTGGATAGATGGATAGACAATTTCAAGAGACATATGAACTGTGTGTTTTTATTTGCTTGTTTTTCTTTTTTTAAAAAAACTGTTGTTGGCATATAACTCACAAATCATACAGTTCAACAGTTCAATCACATTAAGATTGAAGAGTTGTACAATCATCACCCAATCAATTTTAGAATATTTTCTTCTTGTACTCATTACTATTAACTTCCTACCTCCTCCCCCCACCCCCCAATCTTCCCTGCTATGCCCCCAAGGAATCACTAAACTATTTGCTGTCTGTATAGATTTACCTGTGGATTGAGTTATTTTGGTGGTTGAAATCTTGCATTAGATGGTATCCATGGTAGAAATTTTATTAAAAGAGGCCTTGATTCTTCCAGTGGTCATGATAGAGTGATGGAAAAACGGCATTGGATTTATCCCCTCACTATTAACAATGAAGAAGTAGGACAAGTATGCAAAATAAACTGTTTCATAAAAACAAAACCATTAGACAGTGGGAAGGACAGGAGTATGATTCCTGAGAGAATGGACTCAAGTGAGGCGAGGCCTAAAACTCGCCTGGGTTTTTATGTTGAAAATGTTTTCTGAACTTTGGTGACAGGAAGGGGATCCTGGCAGAGCACACAGTCTGAGGGGGTGTTCAGAGATCGGAGTTTAGGTGAAAAGTGGTCTAAATTTGTGTATCAAAAGTACCAGACAGGAAGCAGCCAAAGAGGGCCCGGAACTTGCTTTAGATCCTCTTGATTAATCAGCTGAGGGCTAATTTACCTATGTGTAGTGTTATACTACAAAATGAACAATTCTCAGAGTTCACACAGGCCTGGGAATCATTCAACTTCTGACCAGACAGAGTAGACGCCTCTTTGAACACACACCATCAGTAGAGACCCCGGAAGAGCTTACA